CCGCCGAAATTCCAATGGCTTGCTTAAACCTTCAGCGTCAACAGCTTGTTTAGTTTAATTATGACTATAGGAATACGAATGGATGTGTACGTGTCAACTCAAAAACAAGCACCCCCCCAATGGAAATCGATCTTTTCTTTTCATATATAATGAGAAATGTTCAAATTTTCAGAGTCCTTTGCTTGTGACATTTGAAGGCACTCTCGTAGTCTTGCCGCACACTCGTACCCAAGTTTTTCTTCCTTCTGACGTTATGGGCCGTATGATCGCGGCCACTCCATCCCTCATGTTGCGACCATTACGTCCGACAACGAATTTTCTTACCCAATATATAAAATTCAGCAGGATCTCATTTCAATTAAATTTTGGGTCAATTTTTATTTGCTATTTTGTGTCTGTCGTTAAAGTAATGTAATATACACTAAATATTTCATAAAGTGATTTCTTTTATTAAAAAGAATTAACAAAATGCAAACGTCACGCATGGACAGCAAAATCCAGGCTTCTATGATTTCCATGACGGGGTCTTATCATATTTATTAGTGTTGGGTGAGAACTGAGAACAACTGGCAGGAGCCCAGGAAGATCATCTGGTGTATAGTCAGGAACCCACGTGTCGTTATCCCGCAAATAAATCTAAGCGGATCCTTATACACGTGGCACATACATCCGAGTGGGGCCCATTTGATTGAGTTACGTACTTTTCCACGCAACTGCTGACATCACTCCCCTTCATATTACGCCACGTGTGAGATTGCCGTCCCCACGATGTTCGTCACTTATCTCTCCTTCCTTCTTTCTTTCTTTCTCCTTTCTCTTTCTTTCTTTCTTTCTTTCTTTCTTTACTTTTTCTTTAACTCCTTTTGACCAGATGGCTCTTCGCTTATCATAAAACACTCACGTCTGACCTTTTTCGGCCAATGGGCGCCTCATGTTGTTGATACTTGAATCCTTCATGTCATCGGGTATGGGACGAAACTCTCTCTCGTCTTCATCTTTTTTAAAACATTCATATCCACTTTTCTCAGATTGGGCTACGCCGTCTCTTGTGGGCTTTCCTGAGCCCATGTGTTGTATGGGCTTTAATGCTTGCCAACTCCTCTCAAAGCCCAGTGATGAATTGTATAAGATGATAAACTATCGTGTGGACCCAATTGGTGGAGATCGACCGGGAATGCCCATACGATTTAAAGTTCCATGCGGAGTGAGTTCCATACATATGCAGGAAAATTAAAAGAAAGCGTATCGGAAGTAGTTTGCGATTATATGATGGATATTGAGTACCTTTTTGATATTTTACATCAGAACCGATAATTTGATATTGAAATTATAATGGTTAGAGGGATGAAGTTTCCAAGGGGAGCGGAGTGGCAGTTGGGTGAGGAGCAGTGACGTGGTTGGGTGTGAGCAAAAGACAAGAGGAGAGGTCTTTGGTGGGCATGGGCAGCCACGTGCTATTCTGAAAGAGCACGGTGACCAAGTTGAAGTGGTTAACCTCAGCTGAAGAAGCAACCTGGAAACGGCGAACTTTATTTTGTCACCTTCTTCTCCTTACGTCGTTGTCATCTAACGTTTTCAATTGTCACCTTTCTTTCTGGACCATATCTAAGCCAATGAGCCAGCCCCCTTCTTCTTCGTGACTCAGAAACTGTGCCTGAAAGTGCCTAACCTTTCACTACCTGGTCAAATTCACAGGGAAAAAGGAAAATCATTTCTTTTCTTTTCTTTTTTCTTTAGAAAAAGCAACCATGAATCAGATATATCCGGATTTTGATACTGCCCGGAGGAAATCTGATGTTTAAATTTTACGAATGAAAAAGTTGGCATCTTTTTTGAATCGAAGGAAGGACAGGGTCGTGGTGGGGGGGGGGGGAGTGGAGTGGGGAGAGGATAAAGTGGGCATATGATACGATGATTCATTAGCCAAATCCACGGTACTATTAAATTAATTAATTAATTAAAGGCGTCTTTGACGCGCTCAGCAACATCCTTAAGACTTTTTTCCCGACCAAATTTTGGCGCCATCACTTACCCAAATGACAAAAAGACATAAAAGCCCCTGTCTTCGATAAGATGTTTGCATTTACATTATAAAACAACTATATTTGGTCACCATCATTTTATCAAGTGAAGGAATCAGATGGGTTTTTGACCGTACCGGATATTGATTTTATTCCTGCCCACGCTGACTCCACTTTTTTTTGCCCACCCCTAATCTAATTTTAACTCTAATCTTATTTTTTTTAGATATAATTTTGTTCTTCGTTTTTTTAGTGGTATAGTTTTGACCCTATTTTTTTTTAATTATGAAATCTGACTTTGAGGAGTAAAATTACACCCAAAAATCAGAAGCAAAATTGGAGATATTTATATTATGCATGCCACCTTCTTTAGTTAAATTATTCGAGCATTTTTAAACACATTCATTTTTTTTTTCTATTTAATGTTCATATAACTACATGAATTAAGATTAGTTTGAGTATATCAAACATAAGATATTTTAAAATGAATACATTTGCCAGATCAAGTCTATAAAATTGTAAAATTATTTCAGGGGAAAGAGCAAAGGAAAGTTTTAATTTTTATTTTTTCCGTTGGGCAAGAGGAGAGTGAGAGCGGAAGTCCGTGAGGGCCTAAAAGGGAAGTTATGAGGGAGAATAATAGGTAATAGAAATTGGTTGGATGGTCTGCTTTGCTGGTGGGGCACTGGATTGACTAAGAATTTGGAGTCAGTGAGGCATTGCCAGTACTAGAGAAACGAGCCTGCCCTGATGGGAAATTGCCGGCTTCAATCCAAATTTGAATGCTTCAAAGTGGGGGGGGGGGGTTTTCTAGACAAGACAGAAAGTCCAAATGATAAGACCTGGCCCAACCAAAGGGCCCCATCCTCCAATGACCAATCTCGTCGCAAATATTCAAATTGGAAGGGCCACCTTAATTGGGCATGTTGCCGATTCCAACTTTATCACTTTCCCTCCTTTTTTTCTTTCTTTCTTTTATTTTCCTGTCCCATGATCATATATATAATCAGTGGTATATTTGACAATATCTCATAAAGTGGGAATATTATGAGTTAAATAAATTGCTTTTCTAGTGTTGACGAGTGGGAGCCAATGTTACACATACGTAATCTAATAAATAAAAAATTAACTTTCTGGGGTATGTTTGACTCTACCTTTTAAATATTGCATCCTGCTCTCTAGATCCTGATTACGGGTTTTTTTTAAGTAAAAAACACCTCTAGCTTATGAAGAATTTTAGTTAAAAATGGTTATTCTTTTTAATTTTTTTATTAATTAAGAGAACGATAAAAAAGAACCTGAACTAGTATTACATTTGAATTATAAAGAATAATATTTTATTTCTAATCATATTTTCTAATTATAGGCCTTTTTGAAATTGATATGACGTCAATATCAGTTAATCACATTTTAAATTCTGCCGTTGATACTGGTATTAATTATAAAATTTATTGCTACAATTTATGTTCCAGCCAATCAAGTTTTTCTTTTCTTTGTGTTTTTTTTTTTTTTGGGGGCCTCCATTCGAGGGGATCCTGGTCCACAGTACGTTCCGTTCATAAATTCCAATTGAAGCGCCTCTTCTCCCCCGCCTTAAATTCGTGTTTTGTTTGGAAACTCACGCAAGAAACCACCAAAAACCTCAAATTTCGTGTCACATAAATAAATAAATTAGTTTCCTAAATTAATAAAGAGGACAAAAGGAAGAAGCTTCATGAGCACCGCACAAGAAAACGGAGTCCGGTCTACCTAGTTCGTGAATTGAACGCGACCAGAGAAGCCGCCTCTCTTTCTCCTTTCGCCTACAAATATGAAATTTCTTTTCGCAATTTCTTGCAACTCCCTCCACCTCCCTCGTGATTCTCTGCATCCCAAGTTTGTTTCGATTTGACACCTCAATAATATATTCCTTGTTTGTGAGGGTAGAGGGAAGTTGAACTTTGAGTATCATTCTGTTAAAACCTCCATTCAGAAAAACAAAAGACACCAAAATCCCAGCTTGCTCTTTCTGTGCAAAACTTGCAGCTTGTTGACATTCTAAGGTGACTTTAACATTGGCCTCAATCTCTTAAAGTTTTCTGCTTTTAAGGCTTAACGATCTGGATTTGTTCCGTAGCTTTCTTCTGATCCATTCGTCCTGGTTTTAGGAAGTTAATTTCATCTCCTTTTCCCTTTTTATATCTCTAAATCGCCCCCGTTTTTCTGGCTGAAACCGCACTTCCAGTAGGATTGATGATTTCTGGCATTCTATTTCTCTGGATTGCGTGCTTTCGCGTTTGTGTCTGATTGAGCCTGGACATGTCTCGGAAAAATTCTCATTTACTTTGTATTATTTGTTGATCACAACGGAATCTTTGGCTCGATGATCTTGCTAGATCAATTGGTGTAGCTCTAATCTTTGTTCGTGTGCCTTGGCCAGGGTCAAGTCCAGGATTGCTGGAACAGATTTCTCCATGGTAAGAATTCTTTATCTCTTCTATTTTGTCGATGATGTGGAATGGTAGCTAAACTGTCGATTTTCAGGATAATGTAGTTAGATTATGATATCAAAATCTGCATCGAAGTGGTTTTGGCTTTTATGTATCTAATCTTTCACTATTGTGATTCTCAGGGCGAAGCACCGGCATTCCTTGTGGACAGTTTGGAGAAGGGACATGCTAATGGTTTTAAATTAGAAAACGAAACTCGTAAAACCGCTACAATCATTGGGGATAAAACGGTATGGCCACACCAAACTCTCTGAATATCATCTTTCAAATTGTTTCTACTCTTTAACAAGATATGTACCCAGAGTATAATTATCTTCCTAAATGAAAAAATGGTCCTCCATTTGTTTGATAGTATGTCATTGGTGGAGCTGATGATGAAACTTCGTACATTGAAGTTCAAATCTTTGACGGTGGTCTTGGAGAATGGTCAGTTTAAGGTTTATTGGCTTCAAAGCTGCTTCTCTCTGGCTCTTATTGCTGATTTTCAATTTTATGTGCAGGGTTAATCCCACTGTGCTCGGAATCAAACCAGTCTCATGTAAAGGCCATTCAGCCGTGCTTCTGAAGGATCGGATATTGATTCTGAAGAAGGGTGCTAAGCCAGATGATTACACTTGGTTTTTGGAGGTTGGTGTTTTTTAGATTAAACCCTCTGATCTATGCCTCTACCACCCTATTGCCATTTGTTTTGCGTCACAGTTAGGCATCCTCATACTAGTCCATGCATAGTTCCCTTCTTGGTGATCTTAAGGGTGCGCTCTCATATATCAATCTCAAAATTCTTACAGAAGAAGAGAATCTAGTTTAATGGGACACTAGCTCTTCTTACCAACAAAAATACCCCTTTGTTTCGTTAAATGTTTGATATTTTTCATTTTCTCAAAATTGGCAGGTAGACACCCCATACGTTAGGCAGCAACAGGAAGTCTCGGGAACCCAGGTTGTTGCGTGGAGTAAGGGTGTGATAGGCAGTGCTGAGAAGCCTATTGTTATCAGTGGTCCTTCTGGAGTTGGCAAAGGAACGTTGATATCAATGCTCATGAAGGAATTCCCTTCTATGTTTGGTTTCTCTGTGAGCCACACTACCCGGGCCCCCAGAAATAAGGAGGAGGACGGGGTGCATTACCATTTTACTGAGAAGAGTGTCATGGAAAAAGAGATAAAGGAGGGAAAGTTTCTTGAGTCTGCTTCCGTTCATGGTAATCTTTATGGGACCAGTGTTGAGGCTGTGGAACTAGTAGCTGATGCAGGGAAAGTAAGTTCCTTTTACTCTCATGTTCTCCATTACATTTATTTGAAGACGAGAATTCAGGCAAAAAAAAGTATTTTTCAAATTGAATTTGATGCGTCTGGATGCCCTTGAGGCTAATCCAAAAAAATCTTTCTGGAGAAGCCTCACTGGAAGGCTTATTTTTGCCTATTTCTGTAAGCAGAGCGTAAAAGTAAATAACATTTAGCCCGAGCTACTCTTAATAATTAACTGATTTTACAGACACAAACTTTTGAAATGCAAAGATGACCTTAAAGGCTTAAACTTAAACTCATGTTCTGCTAATGTAACTGTTCGCTGCCACATGCATCATATGAACACTTTGACTGTTCTGATGTAAAAAGGTAGCACCCTCGTCATATGCATGACTAAATCTCATGTTGCATGTTGTGTGGCCATTGTTACTGACATTGATTAATTGATGATAACTTTGTGAGAGCGCAACTGAATTTCTATCAAATAATATATTGTACTTACCCCTTTCATAATTATTCCTTTTAATCCATATGCCTGGCTAAATACGAGATCCATATCCTACTTGGCAGCAATAGTAAGTAGCAAGTTAGATGTAATGCAGTCCTTTTTTGGTTATTATAGTCATGAATTTTAGTTGTCTGTGAGATGATTTGAGGTGCCATGGTATTGCAAGTTTGCAACATCTTAAGTACTGTCTTAAAGAAAGTTTATTTGATTCTGTTTTAAAAAAATTCAAAATAGTGAAACCATTTTTCCTTTTGAATCAGAGATGCATTCTTGATATTGATGTCCAAGGGGCAAGATCTGTGAGGGCTAGTTCACTTGAAGCCATATTCATTTTTATTTGTCCCCCATCAATGGAAGAGCTTGAAAAACGCCTCCGTGACAGGTGAATAACAATGACCTTTTCTTTGTCTCTCTTTGTAATGCCAAGATTCCCGACAATGTTGATCCAAATCTCCCTCTTGAGCAGAAGGACAGAGACAGAAGAGCAGATCCTGAAGCGGCTGCGAAATGCTAAGGCGGAGATTGAGCAAGGGACATCATCAGGCATATTTGACCATATCTTGTATAACGACAACCTGGAGGAGTGCTATGAGAATCTTAAAGTAAATCTTCATTGCTTATTCGTACGTTTCTCTCCTGCAAGAAATTTTTCTATGCAAGTATTCTGATATAAAATATACATTGGTGTAGAAACTATTGGGACTGGATGCTAATGTCACAACTCAACCTAAGTCAGGTATGAGAAACACCTGAGTTATTATGATCTTGGTTTCACAGTTTTTTAACTGTCATGAGGATCGATAAACGTGTTTAATATATTAATGCAGGACCCAGAGAGATTATTCTACCCGTGGATCACACTTCGTCAAAAATTGATGGCAAAATTATCATAAATTGCCTCTCCTCTGGACTTGAAAAGGAATCAAAGAACTTGTAAGCTTGTGAAAACACTACTTATATATGGGGATCAAGTGTGAAATTCTGTCCTAACTGTGCATTTTGGGTGATCAGGATTGTTTTGCACGTTTCCTCGCTTAAAGGGGGTGCACCTGGACGGACAAGAGGGCTAGATTTTCAGGCCATAGGTTCGTTTTCAGATGGCTTGGTGGGGATGGATAAGCAGAGCTAACAGTTCATGAACTTGGCCACTAATGACTTCGGTTTCTCAATTCATATATAACTTCAGGAATTTGGAGAGGGAGAGGGAACATTAAATTTGATGTTTTCACCTGTGTTTTTTCCTTCTTTGATTGTTATGACATTTGACATGATGCTTGGTGGCACCATTAATATTGGCCTGGGCAGCAGCGATTATATTTTTTGCCGCTTGAATTAGATATGTTCCACCAATTGTCTATGGTCTCTTTGCTTTTTGGAAGGACCTGAACAACTGCAAAAGACTTACGAGTCGGCAGTTTTACCCAGTCAAGTGATTTGTGATGGCAAATTTATCTGATTATGGGGTGTTTTAGCTTTTTTGGAAAGTGCTTTTAAAAAATATTTTTTTTAAATTGAGATAAATTTTTTTATATATTTATTTTGTATACTGTAAAAGTATTTTTAAAATTATAGTTTTGATTCTATTCAAATACTCTCTATATGTCTCCATACTTATTGAAAGCTGATATTTTTATTATTATGACTTGAATATTTTGTTTTGTTATAGTATAGGTATTTTTTTTATTAGAGTAATTCTATTCGAGACACTGTCAGTATTAAATATGGATCTTTTTCTCAACGGAGATTTGAATTTTGATTGTGGGAGGTTAGTTTTTTCTGCTAGACTCAGTTCTTGTTGCATACGACTGCCTAATATTGAAGACGTTAAAGCAGGCTATGTGGGATAGATGTTTGGGTTGTGCGTGGGCGCGCGCTCTTGGCGCCACGTGTGGGTGGTTTAGTTTCAACCGAATCACAATACAAATGGTCCAATATTGCCCAGCGAACAGAAAGCTATATCCTCATGTTTGTACTTCTGCTACTTGTGCTTCCGTCACAGCATTTGTCCTCCAAAGTAGGCTTCAAAGTTTGAGAACTAGAGGGCAAGGACAAGAGAAGGTGGGGGGCATGCGTTGGACCAGGTTAGGTCGGCTCAGGAATCTAAACTTGTCTTCAATGTGGGGCATTGCCCCTTGGGGCTGCAGAAGAGGCATTCCCAATCTTAATGGGTGGGGTGGGGGGGGGGGGGGTCGCGATGGCTTAATATAATTAACAAAGAGAAATTATATTTAAATGAGAAAATATTATAAAAGTTATTATTAAATTATAATTGTAAAGGTTATAAAACTAGCCGCATTTATATAATTGTAAAGGTTATAAAATTTTAGTAAGTTTTTTTAGTAATTTTCGATATATATCATATAATCTAAACTATATAATTTTATGGTCCTAATATAATATACAACAAAAATTATTATATTAATTTTAAAAAATACTGATATTTTACAATCCAGCTGGCATTAAAGTTCTAATATAACATATAAATAATTAAGATAAAAGCTTGTTTTACACACACATATTTAGCCATAACCTAATATCGTATCATCAGAAAGAACATGATGGTCGCGCGGAGCATCTTCTTGGGAGTCGGAATTCAAGAGAGCGTACTGGTTGTGCGACAATGTTGTTCATTTACAGGCAGGATCTCAGAGATAAGCCTATTTCTCACTCGTTAATATTGATACTTCGGTGGTCATTTAACGTTAACTAATCCAAACCTGCGAGTGACCCAACTTGCAAATCACTGTCACATGAGCTGGTCGGCTCAGTGGCCATGAGGTCCGAATAGATCCAACTGCATGTAATTCACTATCTTTTATTCGCTCTTTTTATCAGGTTAAATTTCATCCATTCAGAGTTTGATTCCTTTATCCATACAAGTGGATCAATTCATTATATTTTGACTTTGAATTACTGGTGTTGCTTTATTGAACACAAAGCATCTTGATCTTGCTAAAATTCGGCTTCGTTTGGCTTATTCAGAGATGATTGCGCCCTACTTCGTGATTGTGACGCAAAGTTGTCAAAAGCCGTTCTATTAAAGGGAAAACTATAGTAAAACCTGAGTCATCTGTTTTTTCAATTCATATTGTGAAAATGAAATTCCTAATTTTTGTGGCCACCAAACCAGCATTACGAAGCTGTGAAAATAATGCAGAAGTTTCTCACTCACATGCCATATTCCCTTGCCTAACTTTTGCCCACTAGGGGTCCCCAGTCGCCAAGTTGGTCCTTCTCCACTGTGATTTATGGCAGACGTTGCAGGCTCCACCTTTCACATGCATACGCTCTGCTCCTTTCTGACGCGCACTCGCATTCTTCTCTCATTTGCTAATGACCGGTTCTTGTCACTTTCAATAAATACATTCGCTTTGCGCTCTTTCTGAGCTGGTGAACAAGTTTGCTCAATATCTTCGCAAAATTCTATTGTGACCTTCAACTTGACATAAATTCTAGCGTGGCACGCAAAGCTACATATCTATAATGTTCCTTACAGCTCATTAGCTTCTTTGTACAATCCCACTAGAAAACATGGTATTCTTTTTTTGTTAAGACAAATGTTTTACAAGCCAAGGAATGATTTGCCCGATACATATTATGGGAGTCGATGATGCCGCCATCTCGTCCCTCTCAAACCTTAAAAGATCTCTTCCCGGAAAGTCTCAGACGCCAGAAAATAGTCGCAAGTTCTGTGTACACAATGAACACCACTGGTTTATTTAATTAATGGTGAGGACTCTGCCAGGCCTCATACTGTGGTTGAGCGTTTCAGACTTCTGTGCTGAGAAGTCACCTTCAAGATCAAATCCCTGAACGTGTGAGCAGTGCTTGTTTTTATCGGGAGACGTTGACTTTGAATCAGTAGAAAAGGAATTATTAAGGTCATAAGTAGCAGCATCCTCATTGTTTGTTGTGGATTTCGCAGAAGTTGCATCATTATCGAGCTTCTTTGTGTTCAGGAAACGGCCGCCACATCCTCTGGCCCTTCTCATTGCATGCAAATGTCGAGACTCGTGAAGGTAAGGCTGCACATCAAATTAAATAACAACGATTATGCATCTTATTAACACATCAACAATCTGAATAACACTGCAACGAAAGTCTAGGTTCACCTATTTGCATGTACTTAAATATGCAGAAGGGAAAATAATTACACAACCTCATGTCATTTAATTTGACAAAGTGAGCAATCTTAAGCATATCAGATTTACATGAATGCAACAAACATGCTAATAGCCACCGTCGTTTTAATCTAGGTAGAGTCTGCCTTCTATTTTTAATTTAGTCTACCTAGCCGAAGTTGTTAAGTGATCAGCAAAATACATAAAATTCCTGCTTAGGGAAGCAGATTACCTTCAATATAATGTAGCTAGCAAGAAGGATCTCCGTAATATTCGTAAATAATTGAACCTTGTCTACTAAATAAGCAAAACCTCTAGAATAGCAAGAATGGGCATACGGTCACAAAAAGCATTAAGTTCTTGAAATCTTTTTGGTTTTGGATTATCAAACTATAATGCTAGAAATAAGTGGTTTCTGATTATGCATGTTATATTATAAACATAAAATCAGCATGGAATGAAGCAATAAATGGTTGGCCCAAAAAAGCGATATATATGTGTGTGTATTACTTTCTATATCTTGTTCTCGGGAGAAATTAAGTAAAATGAGTCACTCATATTACCTTGCTCATTCTGATAGTCCCACACGAAGCCTCAAGTATGAAGAAAAAGGCATAATAAGTAATGCAAAACAGAAATTGGCAACAAGCACAACTTACTGCCATCGTCACCCTCCCAGCCCAGGGCATATTGGATGTGGCTTTTAACTATAAGTGTTTGTTCTCATAGCATTCTTTTTTATGTCGACATTGAGAAAATGTTTGACCAAGTCGTATTCTACATTCAGTTGGGGCAAACGTAACAAAAGGAAATCATATCGGCTATACATTGCCAGAATACCTTCCTTCCTTTAATTAGCTTCTTTTCCAGCTCTGCTTTGGCACGTAATCGCCTACGCCTCAGAATTCCATGGTACTGCTTCGCATTAACGTAAACAGGCTCCTCTGCAATTTCCAGCGGTAAGACCATTTGCGTGGTATGAACTCCTATACCATGAGAATGCACCTAACATAATTCCCAACAAAAATGAAGAGAAGTCAGATTAAAGAACAATCTTTTTTCTGGTATGATCACTAAATAATAGAAAAGCCAGAAAAATCACACAGCCTAAGCTACAAAGTCTACAATAATATTAATATTAACTGTAAAATGATCATCGCTGAGCATTCTAAACAAGGACAAAACCTAGGTGTAATTTTCAAGTATTTGATATTAGTTGTACTAACAAACAAATCATAAGTTGAACTTTTAAATTATTATATGATTGAATCTTTGAAAAACAAGTGTCTCCACGTATAATATGTTCATTGAGGAACCTCAGCCCACGCCCAAAACACAGTGCCATGTGATGGAGGCTAAATGTGTGTTTTCTGGCAGCTGTTCGTTTCCAGCGAGTTCTAGCCAGGTGTAAAGTGAACGGAGTGGTTGTAACAATCGCTTTGCTATGATATATACCAGTTCACGTAAAAACCATTACACCCGGGGGGGTTTACACAAGAAACGGGGTGATGTAGAGAGAAGAGACGAGGAAGGATCAAAAGGGTGGAAAGATGACTAATAAGTCAAAAACTTGCTTAATAATAAATCGAAAGGCCACCCGAAACTAAATTGCTAGAGGCTTCATTAGAATTATGAGACAATTGTTGATAACTTTGAATCACCAAACACACACGCGCACACATATATATTTTGTGCAGAAAAAATCCCCACTATTGTTTTACATGTATTTTGATTTCTGTGTTTTTCTTTCAATAAATTTGACTCCTTCCAGCAACCATTGTACGCCTTGATTTCTGTGCTTTTGTTTTAAAAAGCTTGACTTCTTTTATGCAATGCATGAAGGGGTGGTATTAGTTTCTGCACAATAACTACTTGCCTTCAGGTTTTGGACAAGATCTTTCATATACACGACTAGAATCTTTCCATGACCAGCACACAATAAGCAATCATCATGGCACAGGAAAGAGGGGGGGGGGCTCATCGCAAGCATCTGAACAACAATAACCAAATAAAAGTGGTGCTTCGTACCAGAGGCTGAGGTCCATAACTTGAGGTCACTCCTGCATAATTGGGACCTGAATATGGGTAAGGGGCACATGCCTGCAAAAATACATCATTTAGATTTCCCAAACATCACACTGTCCCATTTAAGAGATGAGGCTATGGATGTGTATGAATATGATTTAGTATGTTTTTGTGTGTGTGAGCGAGACATAGAGAGAGTTCACCATTGAGGGGCCAACAAGCTCCAACTGTGATGGTTGGGCAAAAACTTCATTTACTGTTGAAGGCACGCTGGGAACAGGAAATTGTGTTTGCTGATGTTCTTCATCAGTCTT